TTCTACATAAGTGTGTAGATGGGCAGCAGCTTGACTAAGTTTGATATTTCACCTAGAAAGAGGGTAAGATGTCAGGTGTTTGATGACAGAGGAGCTAAAACAACTGCTTGGACAATAAAACTGACTGGCAGCTATTTTGAGACTTAACTATAACTTCTAATTATTTTTTAAGCGAGAATGTCAGATATTTTGTTTGCAGATTTTACTGATGTTACCTCAAAGAGCTGGACAGTGGGCTTGTAGCTTTTGTGCATGTGTGTGGGAGAGATGCATTCAGGTGGACACGCCATACAAGTTGGTGGCGGCAATGTCCCAGTGGGGCATCTCACATCTGGGGTGTGTGCATACTGTGGGTAGGCTGCAGACCTACAATAAGCCCCACTGTGGGCCCCCCTTGGCTTAGTGTGGGCAGCCCACAGTAATGAAGGTGCTGGGGACTAAACATAATGAAAGGAGTGCATTCTGCTTTCAAAAGTGTGCTGCCACTCACACATCACCCCTACTCTTGCTTCGTTTATCAGTAACATATAACGCCCTGCGTGGCTGCGCTCCTGCAGCAGAACTACTGAGACCTTTTAACAGCAGTTGGCCTCTCAGATCACATGATCAGGGTTTCTTACCTGTTCCGTACACTTATGTTAAATCCGGAGAAGATCAAGCTTTTAAGGTTGTTGGAACGCCCTTCATCAGCCAATCAGGAGAAGTCATTATTATAGTTAGTTTCCCCTTAATTATCGTCCCATTATTTTTGGCCATAGTTCACATTTGATGTGTTTTTGTAAGAATGAGTGTGTTTGACTGTGTGTCCATATGCTGGAACATGTATACTTGGTTTTATTCAAACTATGAAGCACTTTGGAACTGTGTGTTTTAAAAGGTTCTATACAAATAAAGTTATTGTTGTTGTTGTTACAGAGAACAGAACAAAAGCAGCCAACATCCCCCCAAAAAGCTTTGAATGTCCTTAAAGAAGCCTGGAAAACTTTGAAGAATAAAGGTAGTGATACCAAATAATAATTTTTTGTTTTTCCTTATATGCTGCATGTTTGCACATGTTTCAGTAAATCTCTGTACCCATTTTCCTAGCATAACATAATAAAATGAGGAGTGGCTCCAGAGTTTTGTGGTGTACTGTATTGATATTATTAAACTGACTAGCTTTCATCTGTGGTTTAGTACCAAGCAGGTCAATGCACCAATGTCAGGTTTGTCTCCAGGAGTGTGGCTGGTACTTTTCGAATAAATCAGCTAATTGGTCATGAACAATATTTGCACATTTACACACATATTAAAGTTTGTTTTTGCTGCTCCCAAGTGGCCAACATATTCATTTGTTATTACTTGTCTTTAGGATGAAATGATGGTTATGATTAGCTTGTGCTGACCTGCAGATGGCTGGAGCGTTTGAAGGCTTTGCCGCATTGCTGGCAAACATGAGGCTTCTTCTGCGAATGGGTGATGGCATGGCGCTCAAGGTCGGAGAGGTAAAAGAAGACCCTCGGGCACAGCTGGCAGTACAGCACCCTTCGGGAGCCCGCGGTGTTGGGTGACGGCTCTGGAGAGAGTGGATCTAGCGGGTCAAGTTTACCAGGGGGTAGGATAGGTCCGATAGAAGGGGAGGTAGGAGCAGCCGTGTTAGAGAAATAAAGATGGTCATCCAGAGGTAAATGTTCAGAGTGAAGGTCTGATTTGGAGTCAGGTGATTGGGCGTCTAATTCTGAGGCGGGCTGAGATAAAGAGTCATAGGTCAAACTAGCAGACGGCGGTCTCGGAGACGATGCTGTAAAATTTGATGGCTTGTTGTTTTCATTGGAGACCTCTTGAGCAGATATGGCTTCATTTCCAGGGTTTGATTCAGAGTAAGTGATCTGAGTTTGAATAAGAGGAACTGAGCTGTGGTCATCCTGCAGGGCAATAGTGGATGAAGGGACAGTGAGAGACGTGAGAACGGCGCCAGAATTTATGTTATTCACGCCAGACAGGATGACAGGGGGGTTATTGGGGCTGAGTCTGATGACAGGGTGAGACAGTGTAGGAAGAGGCGATCCCAATGTGCTAACCTGACCAGAGGACAGAGGAAGGGAGACCGGAGCTGCGGCCGTAATCTGGGACAGCTGGCCGGTCGAGGAGTCGAGGACAGCAATAGGGGTGGAGGTAGCGGTGGACTCACCAGAGGAAGAAGGTACAGAGGAAAGGAGAAGAAACATGGGAGTGGAAGCACCATGTGAAGTCTGAGTAACTGAAAGGGGAAGAGAGAGACCGAGTGAAGCCGAGGAGAGGTGAGAAGAGGAGGACAGGAGGAGAACAGGAGCATTGCCTACAGGATTTGCGACAAGTTGAATGGGTTGGGTGGGGACTGATATCCCAGAGGAAGGGGACAAAACAGAGCTGGCATCCTGAACAGCTTTAACGCTCGGCTCTGCAGCCACTGAAGGGTTCGAGTTTGTAATCAAACTTGTGAAGACTTCTGGAGCTTTATCCTGATCATCACCTAGTGATGAAGAATCACTGATAGGGGGTGGCGAGGGGTAAAAATCACCAGAAGGTGCATTTAGTGCATTATCTGTACTTTGGCTGGGACCTGCTAACGGTGCCAAAAGCGACGACTCCTTTCCTTCTGCTTCTTCTGAATTAGCATGATCAGACTGAGAATCCTCCACCCTGGAAGCATTGACTTGTGGCACTTTGAGTCCATCCGGATTGAGCATATACGGAATTCCCTGGTCATCGATGAGAAGAAGATTTTCAGTGTCACAGTCTATCGAAGAGAGAGAGGTCAAAACAGAGGTAGAAAAGAAAGAGGGAGACAGAAGAGCATCTTCAAGAGTATCTGTGCCGCATCCCTCATCGTCCTCTTCTACTATGTCTCTGTCTCCTTCTCCCTCATATTCATCCACCTCCATGATCAGAGAGCTCTCACAGCCCGAGTCATCCAAGAAACGCCCATATCGCCTCTCTCGGCTCTCCCTTTTCTTGGGCAAACTCAGGTCCAGAGGTTCTGTCTGCTCCTCCGTTTCAACCTCATTGAATGTTTTGCAACACTTCAAGTCCATTTCTCGCAAAATTAAAGGAACATTTTTCTGAATTTCCTTCTCTGTAGTTTCCTCTTTAATCCTCGGCTGACTTAAAAACTTAACTGTATTAGCAGTAAAAGGAGTTTCCGACCCATCAATGTGGACAATTTTAACATCCAAAATGTCTCGGTCTTTACACAATTTATCCCGTTTCTCTGCTTCTGTCTCAGGAAATGCTTCGGCTTCTTCTTCAGTCTTCTGGTAAGTAACTTCCATGATTTCTCCTTCATTTTTAACAGCTGGCACACAGATTTCACGTTTCTTCTGTGATGCAGCAGAGACCAACACGGGTCCCTGAAATTCTGAGAGAGCAAAGTCTTTGGTCAGGCTGATAGCAGAGTTTGTGATTGGCTTCTTGCACCGTGGAGGGACAACAATTTTGATTCTTATTGGCTGGCTGTGCAAAACAGGCACTCCAGACTTTACTGTAATTGGCTGTCTGAGCCCACCAATCTTAGTTGTTTCCTGAGAGGCTGGCTCATAAGTCCCGCCCACCTCTGGCTTTTTCCCATTGATTGATAGAGCATCTTGCCTGATGGTCACTGCTGCCGTGACAGGGCATGGCTGGAGGTTACCTGGTACAGTACTGCATGCAGTTTCGTCCTTTGGGTCCAATAAAGTCTCTGTCACTGGCCCTGATCCCTCTCCACACTGGCTGCCATTTTGGACATCCAGGCTGCCACTGGTCAGGACTGAAGCCAACTGAGAATCCATTTTGGGGCATACCTAGTTATATTTCTTTTAAATAAAAGTAAAATAATAGATTAGACACTAAAATAAGGACAATTATAATAAAGAAAATGTGCATTTTAATTATAGCCTTTTGCTTATACCAGGAGAGGAAGATTATTAAATAAATATCCTTAGTTGGCTGGATGGGAGAAGAAGAAGAAAAAAGTCTGGGGATTATTGGGGTCAACTTTAGTGCGAAATGCCCAAACCCACTAGTGCTGTGATATTATAAGCAGGGTGCAGACTATTCACCCTAAATCCTCGGGCCGAAACGATGAACGACTCGTATGACCCTCTTCCTCAACAGCAAACGTGCTGTCACTTTACATGATCCCAAATCTTAGCTCACAATTCCTAACGACGGATCACCGATAATGAAAAAAAAACGCACCGGAGTACAGAAGGGTCCGAATGACGAAATTTCATTTCCTGGCTTACACTTCTTCCGTCCACATTCATCATACATGATGAAGCCTTCCATTATAAAATTCGCATCAGAACATTATTCATACCCGGTTAAGCTCGCAAGAACCAGCCTGTTCTACCCCCTTTCTGCTTATAAACCGAGAAGAACTATCCGCGGAGGACGCCATTACGCACAGTCCTAGGTCCGAAATGCCAACGTTATTATTATTCCGCGTGTGCGCCCTGACGGCTCTCGGACCTGGGACAACGCTGTCGCAAACGCGCGCGTCGGAGTAGAAAAACCCCCCATGTATATTTACACACAGTCGTGGCGTGGAGCGGATCCTTCCCCTTGCACCGGAGCTTCCTCGGACCCACAGCCAGCCATTTTAGAGCCGAGGGTCCGAGATACCGCGAGCGCAGCTTTAGGACAAACTTTCCCGGTGAGCTGTCATTTATTCCAGCCGTGCTGTCAGAGCCGGCGTAACACGCACCGGACACGCTTTCGATACATTTAAAAACTGGATTTTAAACTATACTCCACCCATACTCTCGCTGCATAGGGACTGGCTTACCCAAGCTGTGGATATTTCCGGAGGACCAAATATGACTGTGCAGTGTAAAGGGTGATGCTGCGAATGCTGTGGGAGGGAGGGGTCAAGGGGAGTTGCTATGGTGTCGCAGCCTACCGAGTCCGACCAGTAGCCATGTTCAGCCTATGAGTACTGTTGAACCTGCAGCCTGCAAAGAAAGGCTCTCTGTGCTCCCAAGAATCAAAGAGAAGGGGGCAAAGCAGGAGAGGTAAAGTGGAATCACAGAGGAGGGTTTTATTTGCCATCAAAGAGCTGGAGAGCAAAGCATTTTGACAATATTTTATTTCAAATCTCTCATGTTAAAAACTTACAAGCTTTGAGACTTGATGCGTCGGGCTCAACAGAAGAAAAAAGATCACACAGTGAAACATCACAGAGTCGAGTCATTATGAATTAGGCTACATGAAGGTATCGTCACGGGTATAGCTGGTACTACTGTATTATACACACACAGTCATGATTACATATAGATTGCATCTATGGCACAATTTGGTTGAATTACTTCACAGTTATGCCTGCAGTTGAATAGTATTCAGGGCAAAGAGAGGAAAGTTGAGAGCAGTGGTGAAACCCCGTGAGGCCAAAAGAAAGACATCTTAGGCTGCTGATCCACAAAAGCTGTGAAATCAAAAAAATAGTCCCTGCATCTAACTAACTGTAGCTCTGATGGTTACAGAGAAGCTGCAGAGCGGTCAGGGAGGAGGTGTACAGAGGGCGTGTGTTTTGGAAGTGCTCGAATTGTGGCACAGTGTCTGTCATGAGCGCTGGGTGGGTCGAGATCAGACGTGCAGGTCATTACTCCACGTCGCCGGGCTCGCATGCTTCAATTTCCGAGACCAGCCGATGAGGAAAGAGTTTATACTGCAGCCACGTTGGCTCTGAAGAACGATAAGATAAGATTGCACAACTATTAGAAACACTTCATGGCGTTACAGATGTTAGTTACACATGACAAAGAACCGGGCACGGCGGCTGGTGCAGGTTTACCAAGGTAGCAGGCTGGTGTCTGCAGCTTTCCATTAAAGCAGGTCTGGGTTGCGGTGAAGCTGCATTGCTTACGAGGATGTTTGCAGAAGAACGTCACGTTTTCCCCGTGGGGAACCATGGCATCTGTAACATCAAACGGCCAGCGTTTCACACCACCAATCATCACGCGGCTTCGCTCGGCAGGAATGAGACAACGAGCTGTGAGGATGACCAACAAGGTATGAAAGTATCATATAAACATCAGACACATAATGCTGTGTTTATTAATTGCCGTGTGCAGGTGCACATTTATTTGAGTTTCTAGGACTTTATGCAAAGGTGTCTCTCTACATTTTACTTCAGCTTTGTTAAATAGTCCGGATATTAGATTGGATCGTTCCTCACCTCTACAGTGCGGGGGCGGCGCACTCCAGCTGCCATTGGACAGACAGGTGATCATCTGGGGTCCATCCAGGAGGAAGTTCCTTTTGCACAGGTAATGGATGTCAAAGCCCACTTCATACTCAGTCTTCTGGACAGCCACTACATAGCCCTGCTCCACCTCTGTAGGAGGCTGGCAGTACACTTCTATTGAAGAAAGCAGGTTTATCAGTAAACTTAATCAGAAGGTTTGCTGACATTTAAAACGCAGGAGCAGAGTTACTATTTCACAGGACAAATGCACAGTTGCTCAATTTTTCATCATTGTTTAAAACCTTGAAACTCCACTGAAGTAACCTCGCTCTTATCTTTAACATGTTTTAATAAATGACAGGCCCAGCCGTACTCCCGTTGGCCTGATTCGAGAACTATCCTCAAAGAATTTTCCATTTCTGTTAAACAGGCCATGAAATCCCAGGTTTGACCACACGATGGCAGAGAAGCACTGCAAAACGGAGCAGTAGCTCCTGAAAGATGCATGCCTGAGAGTGTCTGTGTGTTTCTGTCTGGCTTCTCTGATTCAGTATTTCTTAAATATCAGCTCTCAGAAATGCATGCATGCTACAAATGATGGAAAAACAAACCATTTCTGAGCTGATGTTATTTGTAGACTCAGTTTGATCATTCGCTACCCAAGCATTTTCTGCTAACCTGCTAAAAAATGGATGAAGTTACACTAAGAGTGAAGAAAACGTAGCACACATGCATGTTCACACATGATGGTTAGTCAGCACAGGACGCCCTGTACACTTACTTTTACAGATCGGGTGAGGATACTGCCAGGTCTGATTCTCCTGGCAGAAATTTTCCCTGCTCCCCACTATATCCGCCCTGCAGGAGAAAAAGGAAAGAGTGATGGAGACAGACGGTGGTGCGACATGTACAGTACTGACTAAATGTGATGGAGAAAAAGGTGTAAATGTTTCCTTTTTCCACCGTCTCTCTGTGAGAGTGACTAAATTTTGTGTGCACAGTTCTCTGGCTGACACATCCACTCAGGCTCATCTTATCCTGTGAGATGAGTCAGTGCGTAAAGGGGAGTCAATACAAGATTAGACTGTAATGACCTAGTTAGCTCAATGGAGAGATCGTCAGCTGGGAGATCAAAATGAATTCCCTGCCATTCATTGCTCATCACACCTCTGCTGTATTCAAGCCTTCCCTTCACTCCCTCCCTCTTCTTCACACTCCGTCTCCGTTCTCTCACTTCCTCCATTTCCATCTCTGTGGCATTTCAAGTTTTGAGACCCCCGCACATTCACACTCAGCGTTAACCCTGCCCTCACCCAGACAGGCAGCTGTAGCGGATGGATGTTCCTACAGCAGCGTCTCCCTGAATGCTGAAGGTGTTGGTCACTTCCTCGGGCAGAGGGCAAGTCTGGACAGCAGCAAGTTCAGGTGACTCTGATAGTCAAAGAAGACAAGAGGCAGTGAATGGCAGGTTAAACATGCTATCTATAAAATACACTCACTGGCCACTTCATTAGGTACACCAGTTCACCGGTTTGATAATGCAAATATGTAATCAGCCAATCACATGGCAGTAAGCCAGTGCATTTGATCATATAGACATGATCGAGTCGACCTCCTGAAGTTGAAATGGAGCATCAGAATATGAAAGGTGTCTCAAGTGACTCTGTATCTGGTCTGTTTATTTCAGAAACTGCTGATCTACTGTGATTTTCCACCATAACCATCTCTAGAGTTTACAGAGAATGATCTGAAAAAGAGAAAATATCCACTCGTAGCCAGTTCTCTGGGTGAAAATGTCTTGTTGATGCCAACGGTCAGAGGAGAATAGTTCAAGCTGATAGTAGAACAACAGTAACTCAAATAACCACGTGTTACAACTAAGATATGCAGAAGAGCCTCTCTCAACGCACAGCGTTGAGCTACAGCAGCCATAACATATACTGCTCCTGTTACCTAAGAAGAGGAAACTGTGCCTTCAGTTCACTCAGGCTCACCAACGCTGGACTGTAGAAGACTGGGAAAAAAATGTTGCCTGATCTGATGAGTCTCGATTCTTGCCGCAACATTTCTTGCCTTGTATCAGCAGTTTGGGCTGGTGGTGGGGGTATGATGTTCCAGAGGGATATTTTCTTTGCACACTTTGGGTTTGCTGAGCATCCTTTAAATGCCAAAGTGTACCAAAGTATTGTTGCTAACCATGTCCATCCCTTTATTGCTGCAGCAACAGTGGGAGGCTGTCACGTCAATATGGACCAAAATCTCTGAGGAATCTTTCCAGCACCTTGATAAATCTATGCCACGAAGGATTAAGGCAGCTTTGAAGGTTAAAGGGGGTCCAGCTCAGTACTAGCAAGATGTAACCACAAAATGGTAAGTCAGTGTACAAAGTCAAAATACACACAGTCACCTTTGTCATTCTCCAAATGCAGTTTCTTTTCTGTATCTACTGGTACGCTGACTCTGAACTACACTTCATTGGCAAATATTGCACTTTTTAGGAAAAACATTAATATTATTATTGTGTTGTTGTTGCAGGATTTTTCAGTGGCAGAAAAGACCCAGTCTACTCTACTCCATACATCTGCTAACTAACTATAATCACAGGCATTACAGACTGCAGGAGTACATATAAACATCTAAAGATCAGACTGCACAAAAGTGCACAAAACTGCAGTCATTGCAAGAGTAAAGCATTCAATAGCATACATGTCCTCATGCATTTGTTTCCAAGACATTAAGTATATTAAGTGAATGATAATAATGACTCACAATGACCCCAAAAAAGCCCTCGATTGAGTGACATAGATGTGATAAGAAAGGTAAAATCTACTATCAGAGTTTGCTATCAGAGTATAGTTTGGTTAGTTTTGGGCAATGACGACCTAATAGCTAGTTTTAGGAAAAGATGGTAGTTTGGGTTAAAATATCTGCGTCTTAAGGAGCCGCTGTAACAAAAAGCCCTGAATGCAAACTCGTCCCATGTGTGAAGAAAATCAAGAAAAAACCTGAAGGAAATGAAACAGGAAGAAAAACAGAGAGCAGGACCAGCCATCATGTCATCTCATTTGACTTGTGTTAACCAAGGTTTCCATATAGTTTGTGACCCACAGAGGCGTTTGACACAGTGTCTTGTTTTATTCAAGTTGAAACAGGCCTTCTTAGATAATAAATCAAAGTTCGACGAGCAGGTGAAACGCCACCCCGCACGTCCCCGAGCTCACAGCTCTAACTGTGATTGTATAACACCTGGCATTGTTCATTCCTAGATGTTTGAGTGCCTCACGCTTGTGGAAATATAAATATCAAGAGTGGTGCTTGGAGAGAGGCTGGAGTGACCTGAGCTGCATCAAGCGCGGGGTTTCAAAACTGAACACGGCTTTGAAAGGTAGAGACAGCGCTCGCCCGAGGGCTATCTTGGTATCTGAAACCGAGAAACGTTAATGTGAGAATGTAAAGGGACCTATGGGAGAGGGAGAGTTACGACTCTGTTTGGCTGCAGTTGAGAGCCCGAAGCAGAGTTCTGTTTTCACATACCGCCCTGCTCCTACCTTGTACCGCTGCCACCCACACAGGCTGCAGCACCAAAGTGCTATAAAGCAGGTATACCAAATTCATCTTCTAAAAACTGTAAAACTGTGATGTTTGTTTTTTTTTTATTCAACGAAACAGCGCTAAATATGCACCAATTAGACCGAGATGAAAGATGTAACGGTACACCACGGTTCCCATATACTTTAGACCTCTTTATACTATGGGTTTTTTTTCCAATAAAAATATACACAGAGACATATCCACACAACACAAGCTGAAAAGCCTAGAGCTGCACACTTGTCCTTGGCTCCTATTGTAGAGAGAGACCTTATCAGAGGCCTCGGATGGAAGCGGATGAGAGGAGAAAGAGATGAGAGGAAAAGAGGATGAGAAGAAAGAGCAGAGGAGAAGAGAACTGGGAACAGAAAGGCCTCGAGCAGCGTGAGCAAGAGAGCTTTCAGACTGTAATCTGTCGCCCACACACACAAGCACACACAAACACAGTCGTGTATCTGACTTCACAGCGCATTGACACATTAATTTCCTGGAGACTTATTTCAACCTCAACTATGACTACTATTTGCCTAATCCTGACCCAAACCCAACCTTACTCTACCCCTCACATTTATATGTTAAACTAGATTGATTTCAAATGCATTGATTTGATTTTTGTCCCCATAAGGAAGGCATGTCCCCAGCATGAGTAATGCTTGGACACACACACACACACACACACATCTACCTCTCTACGTGTTGTTAAACGCACACCCTCACTCACATCAGACCCGCATTCGCACTCGCTCTCGCTGGCGCAGCGTGCACGCAGCTCCGTGCCACTTTGACAGTGATCTGCCGCCCACTGCCTCTCAGCAGGCACGAAGGAGCTCGGCTCACACTCTAACACACATGCAAAGGACACACAATACAAACACTCTCACACGCTCTAAACCCACCTACCTTCTGCCTGTCTCTCAGAAGGAGGATACTCTACGAGCGAGCTGAGAATTGTATCCTTATTTCATCTCTGAATTGGTGAAAAAATCCTGAGGGTGAGACTGAAACGCAGCAGGGTTGAGGATTTCTAGGAAAGCATGTAGCTGCAGGTGGGCGATGAATGTAACAGGCCTCAGACCTTTAAAGCTGAATTACATTGTTATCATGAGCGTTGACAGGTTGACCTAAGCAATAGTACTGATCAGGTCTGGGGAGATACTAAGAAGAACCTTATGTTGCACGCTGCAACTTTATAGAGGTGAAGTAGTGAGGATGCCTTTTGTTTGAAATCAATTCAGAATCAACGCTTTTTTTTCTATATTTCATGAGACAGAAACATAAAATATCTGCAGCCCACAGTGCTTGCAGTGGCAGTGCAGTAGTCTTCAAGTGGGTTTGCTTTTTAACACCCTGTCTTCTGGGTTTTAACTTTGGATATGTAACAATTTAAATAAGCAATGTATTTTTTATAAACTCTGGAGTCTGTTGTCAGTTTACATTGCCGCTCACAAGCCTGATTCGAACAACACGGTTACCTTGGGGCAGAGAAGCACTTTGGTTGTAAATTAACACAAATCGAAGGCCTTTGAACTTGCTCTCTTTGAATTGGCATTTGTTCTTCCCTCTCGCTCTTTCTCTGTTGTTAGCACGCTCGCCTTAGCACAAGAAGGTTCTGGGTTCAAACCTTCCCGAGGCTTTTCTGTGCAGAGTTTGCATGTTCTCTGTGTGTCTGCGTGGGTTCCCTCCAAGGACGCTGTCTTCCTCCCACAGAGCAAAGACAGGCATGTTAGGTTTCAAATGTATGGTTAAATGTGGCTTGCAGTCTAAAACGCTTTAAGTGGTCAGTAAGACCAGAAGAGTACTATATAAATGCCTTTCTGTTTCCAATACGCTGGTCACATGTTTATTATAGATCTAGTACCAACCTATATCTTTAAACACAGCATGAGCAAAGTTTTAGTTGAACCTGTGTTTATGCGTGATTACACTTTCAGGCCGTAATTAGTCTTTTTTGCCTTGTTGGTTTTTGTGGTAGGTTTATTTTGTCTAGCCTTACATTATAATTTTGACCATATGTAGACTGCATCTTGCCCTCTAGTTCAGCAGCAGCATAAATACAACTGAAACAAGCAAATAATGTTACAAACACAGTTTCCAAAAACACACACATGAGCTGCAGACAAGAAGCAAGTCTGCTATAGTGAGCACATTTTCATCTCAGCTCTTGTGTATGGTAGTCCTGTTGCTATGGAAGCCACTGTAATAAATAAATTGTCATCTATAAGTTAAAATTTCAGGTTATTATCTCAAATTTGTGACGTATTGACTCACCACTGAGGAAATAGACATTTTTGAGATAATAACTTTAAATTTTGACTCAGCTCTGCGTGGCAAAAAATAAATAAATAAAAGATAAATCTCAGCGGAGGAAACAGGGAATCATCTGTTTATAGCACCAAATACACTGCCTACCTTTCTGCTTTCTGTGTGGCAGATCCTTCCAGCAGGTACTGGAGAGGAGGTGTGGTTTGTTCCCAATTAGCATCACTGGAAACACCTGAGCCCAGTGTGCCAATGATCTGTAAAAGCCCTCAGAGCTCAATTACTGTGTCTCTCCTTTGTAAGAGGCTGTTTTTGGTTGTAAATGCTCCTTAGTTTGTTTTCTTGCACTAAATAATGTTGCCTCCACCCCCAACAGGACTGACTTCATACACCATAGTTAGTTTTTATTCTTTCTTTATGTTTCTTTTATTAAAAATAAAATATTTCTTTGTTGGCAGTTGTGTGCTTCTCCATTTCTGTCATGGCAGTTCAACATTGCTGATGTAATATTTTGACATTAAGTGTTTCTGATTTAGTTTAGAAGGCTATATAAATGCAAGATTCCTACAGAGGCTGCCATTAGTTTTATTTATCCATCCATCCATTATCTTCCACTTATCCTTTTCAGGGTCGTGGGGGGCTGGAGCCTATCCCAGCTGTCTTAGGGCAAAAGGCAGGGTACAACCTGGACAGGTTGCCAGTCTGTTGCAGGGCTAACACATAGACACAGACAACCATTTGCACTCACGTTGGGCAATTTAGAGTTTTTCCATTAACCTAACCCCACGAACTGTGTGTCTTTGGACTGTGGGAGGAAGCCAGAGAACCCTGCAGAACATGCGGGTGTGTTTTGTACCATCATCTGACACAGTAACACAATAACTAATGAGTGATAAGAAATGTATGATCCATCTAGAAGGCTCACTAGCTGATTAGCAATATTATCTCTATCTAGCTTGAATTCTTTCTCTGGTGTTTTCTCATCTGTTTTAATGACTCGCTCACACTGTTTTTCTGTAACACTATGTTTTGCCACTAATTCAAATGTCAGTAAGTAAACAGTTGTAATTCTTCCACTTTCTGAGTTGGTCCATAAATTCCAGATTATTTGCCCTTACATGTAACGTGGCATTTATGAATCTTACGAAAGAATCCAAATGTTGGGATTATTCAACATGACCCATGAAGTAAAAAAGGCAGCTTGCGATGCTCTGGGACGTTCTACATTTTTGTTTTCTAAAAAACAAATAAAACATGCTTGTGTATCTTTGTGTTGAACTTGTTTACCTCTAAATGTTGCACACGTATATGTTCTTGCACACATATTTTTTGAAATGCATATTCTTTGTATTTAAGATAAGAAACATGTAAGACATACTGTATGCATGCACAGACACAGCTGTGTATTCAGCTTTTGTCTCCTTTTTAAAGTTCTCGACAGTTCAATGGTAAAATCTTCAGACCCACTCTGAATAACCGAGGCTCTGGTTGCTATGGTGATGGGGAGAATAGGTCCCAGTTGTGTAATGTCTACGTTGACACAAATCACAGAGGGGTTTCTGGATTTCTCGTCTCACATATACACCCACAAACAGCTGTGTGTGTTCACTGCATAGACCTCCAGCTGACCACTACCTGTCAGGAAGAAACCCGAACCAAAGAACATTTTCCCGTGACCTCAAACCTACCTGTGCAGATGGGCTCATCGCCACTCCACTGTCGGTCACCCTGACAACGGCGAATAGTGGCATCCATGCCGCTGGGCAATGTGAATCCTGGCTTGCAGCGCACTTCAAGCAGGGCAGAAAAGGAGTGAGTGGGAGAGAGGAGGCGAGCTTCTGCGTTTTCGCTGTGGGGTAGAGGCCAGGGACAAGTACGACCTGAGGATGAAAGAGATGGTCCAGAGAGAGGAGAGAAAACAAGAGGCAGGGAACAAAACAATTCAGAGAATGTGCAGGAGACAAATGAAAAGAGCACAAATGAGGCTGTATAATGAGTCTGGATACACGCACAGTGCTCCCTTTTACAGCACAGAAGCATAATAAAAAGCTTCTGTTCAGCACTGGCATAAGGCTTTTATTTTATTTTCCATCAAGAAACACACACACACACTGATGTATGTTGGCACAGCTGCGTATGCGTACGCATTTGCACGCACACACACACACACACCCTTTTAATAGCTGAGCCCACAATGCTTTTCAAAGTGAGAACTGACAGCACACATGCATACAAATAGTTACCTGGAGCCACACAGCTGAGACCACACTGGCCGTCACACAGACACTGGCGTTTGCTGCCACAGTCACTGTCAGCTTTGCAGGGTCGTGGACACATCCTCCTTCCCTCCTCTCCCACAAGCCTCTCCGGACATGACCCTGTTGTGATACCCACACACTGTTACACAGTAATTGCCCCTTTGTTTACTCCTATTTCATTCATGGCCCCCCATAAAAAAAGGGGGAAAAAAAGACAAACGCTGTGTCGTAAAGAGATTTTGTTTGCCAATTCTGCTCTGTTTTCTCTGTGAAGGAAAGCAAATTCAGTGTGGGTGGCCGGGCAAACACTTGCCACCCAGGTTGCAGAACGAAGAGGTTTTTCGATGGCGGGCTTTGCTGCTCTGTGCCTTTCAGCTATCAATCTTGTTCTTCACTGAAAAGTGAGTGTGTTTGTGTGAGAAACTTTATCTAAAATGCAATTCATGCAATTCTGAGTCATACATCATAAAAACCACAGTGAATTACTGTACATAAACATCAACATGACCTTGTCATTTGAGACGGAAAGGGGAGGGGATGTGGGGGAAACAAACTCGGTGCCCCATTTTTCGATTCTCAGAATGAAAATGTGTGCGCTGCTGTATTCACTCTGCTCAAAAGCACATGTGCACACAAAAAACATGAATGCGCAGCACATGATCGTTCCAGACATGGCATACATATTTAGCACCTATGATATTATATAACTAATTAGTCACTATGAAATGCAGGCCAGTATTATGGAAGACTTGGAACTGTTCATGTGAAGGTAAACAATGATCCAAAACAGCTTTGCAATCATTAACTACTGACTAGAAAGCCATACATTTATGATGTAGGCTACGTGCAAAATATACATACAAAATAAACATTAAAATAAAATCTTAGTTTCTTAATTAGTACACTATGACCAACATTTGCCACTTTCCAACTGACTAATTGCGTACGTCTGTATCCGAGCTATGTGCTCACCTAAATTTCAAACTACAACTTAGAGAAAGATGAAGCATTTCAGGGAAAATCCTAATGGCATCACTAAAGAGCATTCAGTCCAGCTGCGTTAACTGTGTATGCAGGGATCAGTGCTCTTCCAGGTGAAAGTGATGGAGGGCTTACCTGAATCCTGCAGGGATACGGTTCCAGTCAGAGCCCACATGGACAGCAGCAGCAGTGCACGGTCCATCTTTGGAGCGAGGATATGAGCAAGGGACACGCAGATGCAGCATTTTTAAGGAAGGGGGGAACAAAGGGTGGGAGAGGGGGAGAAAGAGGGAGAGGTCCAAAGAGAAAGAGAGGGAGAAGTGGAGAGAGAGAGGGTACAGCCCAGGAGCACACATCTGGTTCGTGTTGAGGAGGAGAAAAGTGAGGAAAATTCCACTCTGAAGGACCTTTCACCCATTTCTGTTGAGACAACAGATAAAGGGGGTGACATATGCATAACTACTGTCCACACAGAGAATTAACAAACAGGAAATGCTATAAAAGGAAGAAACTGATAGATTTGACTTTATATATTGAATGCAATATATATGTATGTGTGTGTGAGCACCAAAGTAGGTCAGTGTGGCTTTTTTAATGCTTTATCTTACGCATAGCCCATCATATAAACTTTTTTATATTATCTTACCTTATATACTCTAACTCAGTCTCTTAAACGTAGTGTGCATTTAATTATAAAATGCATAAAACACTCTTTAAATTTATTTACAGGAACCAGAACTGCCTCAGTTGGGCAAGACTTGGTATTTGAACTGTTTTGCCAATTAAGGAATGTACACAATGTGAACAAACAGGGAGGATATCAAAACAACATGGTGCATTTCACCACGTATCACAGTCTGGTTATCAGCTTAAGTAAAAAAAAACCTGAATTTTTAACCTTTGTCGTCTTGCCTTCAAAACTGGGCTTTGATTCAATTCTGGATTACTTGGAAGCAACCACAAACAGCGCAGTGATTAATGAGAACAATCTTTTATTTGTGTTTTTTTTTTTTGGGGGGGGGGGAGGAAATCTCATACTACATCCAAACAACCAGCACTGACTGGTGGGCTGGGCATCATCGACACTACTGATGCAGCAGGGCAGTTGATCAGTTAAGAGTCACTATAAGAGTTATCAACCACATCGGTGAAGATACAGGAGACTAAAATCCTGTTAGGAGAGCAAACAATCACTGAATGAGGTGATAAAGGCAGATAAACCAACAAGGAGCGTATCAGTAGTGTGCACAGTCCATGCACAGGTGAGAAAACGGTCATGATGAAAGGTCAAGTTGGTCTGAGTGAACATCATGTTCAAGTTACTGAGCCACGTTTGTGAAATCCCCGGTCAAAGAAAACAAAAGTCTCTGTAGAAGAAGTGGATAGATGTGGGTCCGAAGACAGGTGCAAATAGCCGAGACTGGGGTTGTTTTGTTTTGTTTTTCCATTTGAAAAGTCTTTCTGAGGAACACTGAAGATCAAAGATGTTTCAAGGTGCAACAGATCATCCAAAGAAAGAAAAAAAAAACATTCAGTAATACAGAACAACAACAATAAGAGGGATAATCATAATAATCATAACAATAATAATAGTTGTAATGGTAACTACTCATCATGGTCATTGGAGGATTAAAATCACACTATTACTAGTCGTCCCTCCCCCACGGAACATAACATAGTGTACCATGCCCCTGTGTAGGTGTTGTTGGGTACACAGAGAAGTTCATAGATACAGTAAAAAGGAAGGAGCAATAACAGGATTGAAAAAGCACTAAATAGCAACAAGTTTCGTGGATCGACATAGGATCAACATTTTGGCTTTTATTTCTCCCAGAAATCTGAGAAATTAACACATTCCACTCAATGGGGGTACTCAACCCATCTCCTGGAATACATCAAATACACAAAATAGTAGAGGCCTATCCAATATACACAACAATTCCCCTCCCTTCCCCCCACCACACCCCTGTAATAATGCTAATTAAAGTGTGTTCAGTAAAGTAACAACGTGTGTTTTTACAGGGACGATTGATTACTACTGCAGAATATGTTACAACACTGAGATTGAACTGCTCTGTGCACCTTTCAGGTGCAAGAGAGTCACAAAGACAAAATGCATTGGGAAGAGTTTGCACATAACTGTCAAAGGACTGCCTGCAAGTGGGAGCAGACAGAAATAGAGACATCGGATATAGAAACAGGGGAGCAATTCAAAGAGAGGATGAAGAGGAGCAGAGTTACCCAGGGCATCACAACAGGCTTCCACAGGCTCGGGAAATATCTAAAAACACCAGAGCAGATTGAAAGCACTTCCACTGGGATAGTGAAAAAGTAAAAGAGCAATACACAGAAATATGGGCTAGAGGAAGATGTACCAGTCTCATAAAGGTAAAACCAAGGTAAAAAGAGCTAATATTGTTAGAAGGGGGAAGGGGGGTGACGTTGTTCTAATAGAAAATAATATACAAGACTGGCCAAGAGGATAGAGCTGGGCTGTATACATAGTGTCTCTCATTCTGTCTCCCTCAAGCATCCCCAGTGACAGAAACATAAAAGGAAACAAATTAAGTGCTTGAATAAAATCCACAAAATGTCGAACTACACGTCTTTAAGATAATTTTGCTCTCTATATTACAATTGTTACATGCCTTCTCAACCCTGCTGCTGCATCCTGGCTATAATTATAAACACAAAAAAACAAAAACAAAACCATCGATGGCTGACAACCTGTTAAGCATCTCCTGACTCAACTATGATAAAAAGATATTTACCGCAGCTTTCCCCCATCTCTGTGTCCCCATCATGTAGAAAATATACAAAATTATTCTGTAATTTGCTCTCCCTCTAATTTTTCTGAAGTATTATAAAAATATACAATTCTCCAATAACAAAACTCTTAAAAGTCACATCTTTCATCTGTTAAATTATTCTCTCTGTCCGCCACTTTTAAGAGCCGACACCTCAACGAAACAAGACACCTGAGCTTCAATGCACAAACCTTCTCCTCGTCTTATACATTCATCATCAACATCATCATCATCATCATTATAATCATAATCAGCTTGACCCCCTTTATGTCCATCAGGTTACCCCAGAAATTCAGAGTCTTAGATTGAATCCAGCTTATATTTCTCCTCGTCCTAATTCTTCTCCGCGCTGCCATCACTGGTCAGCGAGACGGTTTTCGTATTTACTAAGTATGTTACGACACCGGCCCAGTTCCTTCCTCATCTCGGCCACTTCCTGTCGGAGGGCGGCGTTCTCTCGCTCCAGGTAGGCGGCGCGCACTGATATCTGGTTCTCCTTGAGACGGCGAGCATCCCGGGAGCGCTTTGCCGCTTCATTGTTTTTGTGCCTCCTGCTCCAGTACTTCTCATCCTACAAAAGGACCGAAGAAAAAAAACAGCACATATGGATTATTCAGCATCCACCAATGCAATCCACTTATTTTTATTGGGGAATTTCACGATTATTAGGTATAAAATGTATAAAGAAAAGAATCAGTGAGTGCTCTGATTTGTTTCTTAAGTGTAGTGTTTTTTCTAGCTTAACTTCTACAGCTATGTGGGTGTTTGGCAATGAAAAGACACTTCTTTGTCGTTGTTGTTTATTTGCATACCACATCCTCAGAATTTGGTTACTGGTTACTGTCTGACAGCAAATAAAGTAAGCAAACAACCTGCATGTGCCACACACAGCTGCTAAAAACTGAATTGCTGTCTTTTTTGTGGCTGTAGAATATTTTATGAACTTCCATAAACTACAGAGTGAGGATTTGCACAGTTTATGATTCTTTATACTCAGTTACAAGTCATCAATCTTATAACTTATACTGGGCTTTTTGTTTATGTAATCTCTGTTTTTATTTTGCAGCTCCTGTGTTTGTTGCTTGTCCATTATCGGATGCCCTCATTGTGAAACTGTTCTGCCTTTTACACTGTTTTCATTAAACTGAAGCGCTAACAATGTAAAATATAAATGCAGACTCAGACGTGTGCTCATTTCTGATAAAAATAAATATATCAGGTAAACAGCTTAGCTCTCGCCAGTATTTTCCTCAACTGATCATTTTCCATGATCATAGCTGGATAATTGCCCCATTAGTCATCGGATAAATGAATCTCAAACAATGTGGACAGTGTATTAACCATTTGAGCCTCTCAAGGCTTTATCTCTGGTAAATCTAGATGGCATTTTCACTATTTTATGACATTAAAATCATTCGATACAAATTTTTAAAATAACCGATTTAATTACTATTTATCTGCTTTCAAACTAGTTCAGTCTCAGGGCATAAACTGCATGTAAGCCACTTGCATCAATGCTGTGAATACCTCAGCAGCCTCACCTTCATGTTATCGGGTACCAGGATCTTGCGTGCCTTCTTGATCATTGGCTGGGGCTTGAGCTCATCCTCGCTGAAGGAGTGCCTTCGCGGATCAAAGTTCTGCTCTTCCGACGTGTTGGACATAGCCATGTCTGAAGAATCCATGTCAAACATTCCAATCACATCTGGCCCATTCCCAGTGGGTGTGAGCAGAGGCGGACAGGAGGATGAAGAGGAAGAAGAGGGTGACTCACAGGAGTCATTCATTCTCCTTTGACTCCCTAGAATTAAAAAGAAGATAAACCTAAGTACACTAAACACTTTGACAGTTTTAGTGGAAGACGTTTTGACACTTTTTGACAGATCAGCCACAAAAATAAAAAAACAATATGCAGCACTCCATGATAACCACCAGATGGCAGCAGAGAGCTACATTGTTAATAAAAACAAACATTGCTTTGGCCTTAACCAAGAGTTGGCTGGTATTCAGTGAGCTTTCACTGGCAGATAAAAGATTTCATAGTCAAGGTAATGTTTAAAGTATACTACAATAGCAAATGCAATATAATTCAATCATGTAATCTACAAATATTTAGTGCACAGATTTGTGGATGTAACTAAGCAACAAGCTGTTTAAAGCAATACCTAAATTAATTAATTGAAAGCCAATGCTAGCTGTCTCAGTAAGATTTTAGCCATCTTGTGCCAAAAACATAGCTTCAATGCACCTTGGCACAGATTACCCACATCTCTAATACACTAATGAGGGAGTGGAAACTTTTTTTTCTTCAATATTTACCCTTATTTGTTTTGTCAGTAATGGAGGAAAGCATTTCATTATTTTTAAACAAGTGTTCACTTTGTTGAGATCTGATCACTGATCTTTTAACCTCTATGGATGGAGGTACTATCTATCTTTTTATCAGGGTGGAAAGACTTCATCATGAGATAAAGGTAACCTCTCAGAAAAGCTGTGCCATGTCAGAAATGGGTGCAGATTTCCTCTTCATTTCTTACCCATCTATATAATTTATTATGCATCTGTCAATAATGGGAAACTAACATCAAATTAGTTCTTTGTATGTCCCACTGAGTGTGCTACTGATAAAATAAAAACATAACCACAGTCTTGATGTGAATCCTCTGGTCCACAGGCTTTAAGAATATATAACACACAATCACCACTACACAAAACCTCTTGGCCCAAAGCATAACCTTGACAAGTTTTATCACATGAACTGCTGAAAATGTACTTGTGGACCAAAGCTCACAACCAGAACAAATGCAGATAGAAAAATCTATAAGCGGAAATGTTATATAATGTGTTCTCCCTCCTCTCCAATCCAGTTTCTTTAAGTGGGGCCGGTATAGGGTGATGTGTCAGCCCACCCCCCTGTAGGGCCAATGCACCTTACTCGACTGGCTTTTCTTTCAAAGAGCACAAGCCTCCATTAAACTTCTATGTGAATCCAGACAGCTCAGTCATCATCCTTGTTGTGAATGTATAAGCCTGTCCACATGCAAGTGAGGCAATTTAACAGAGATGTCAACTTGACTCAAAGCTCCTCTATGTGTTAGCTGGATACCTAACAAGGTATCTACTTAACACAGCACTGCAGCCTCCCAAATATGGACAAATATCAAACCCAGGGTGAATATAATGAATATTTAATGTAGTTTAATAAAAAAAACAAGCCAGCAGGTTGTTGGTCTGTATGTGCTGCCAGCTGCTAACTATATTACCTGTGGATCTGTAGTATAACAGAACCTACAGCATGAGTAATGGCAATATAATAGACAGGTAATGTGAGGCCATATTTTGATACCAGGTGAACACTGTTCACTCACACTCCCTTGGCAATGCCTCCGTACTATAATAAAACTATTTAAAGTGGTAGATGCACCGGGGCACAATCAGCAGTCAGATCTACGTATTGCTGAAAGCTCTTGTGGATATGGTTAACCGAGTGTCGTGCTGCTTAAACCCAACAGCAGGAACTAGGTAGTGCCACCACCTGTTGTGGTGCTTTGTTGGAGTGAAAACCTAAAGACCCTGCAGTTTACTGCTACCTCTCACCTCTGACTTTCGGGCAGCTCTGGAACGCAGATTTGCCAAGGAGATTTGGTGCATTTTTCGTTCACATGTTTCCACCGTTAAATAACAGCAGGATTTCATTTTTGATTACATGGCCCGACATGTGCCCTCACACTTTCCAGAACTTGTACAACAGCATTCCAAGAAAGCCCAAAACCGTTGCGAAGGTAAACAGGGGTCATTCTCCTTGGTTACCTAATAATTGTTCATCGTTAGGCCGTCTGATATTTTATGAGTACATTTGTGATGTTGCAGTTTAGCATTAAAAGGAGGCAAATAGCATCTAGACGTAATTATAAGACTTTAAACAAAGGGACATTGATCAAAATGCACAAGCCTTTATCATGCAGTATAAATGTCTTATCGGAGTTTATGAACGAGTGCTTTGTAACTGAAGGAGTGAATTAAAGGTCTTCAGTCAAGATCCCATAAAGTATAAAGCTCCCCTCTTGATATCAGTGCACTTATTGTCATTCAGTGGTGATCATATGTTCGGTGTGAAGTCCAGCAGGCACAGGGAAACTCTTCCTGTTGTCCCCCCCCCCTCCTTCTCCTCTGTGGACTCCTCCTACACGTCTGCTGGCCCTGCCTCTAGTTCTCTCACTCCAGTACTCCCAGCCTCTGCACGTGTAATGACGCGTGCACATGGCTGTGGCGTGTGAAGTGGGGAGAGATTTAAAGACACGCAACCGCAAACACTCCACACACACTGCTGTCTCTCTCTCTCTCTCTCTGTGTACTGTTTTGACCCTGCTGCACAATCATTATTGGCCGGGAGTGAATGCTGATTGTGTTGTACACTGCAGTGCACAGATCACATGCCAAACTACACCAAACTCTCTTGTCATAGCTATGAAGTTGATTCGTCAAATAGCTCAGGACTCCTTATTTTGCTTTACCTATTTTTTTTCAAGTTCTTCACTGCTCTTCAGCTTTTTGTTTTTCTCCCAATCAGTTTTTACCTTGCAGCCATGCAACCAAATGGTCATGGTTTCATGGTTAAGGTGCAAATTTTAAACTCTGTTTTCTTTTTAAAGCTTACTTTGTTTACATAACCATGTGATCTCACGGCCTCAGCTTGACCCCACAGGACAGCGAAATGTTTGATTGCCATGATAGTCACTGTGAAGTTGAAGTCCTGAATCATTAGCCCACACTCCACATAACCCTGTTTACATCACAACTATTGTTATTAAACCGAAAGGTCTGCTAGTCGACCAGCAGCAGGTGAAACTTTGTCAACTCTGAAAAGCTTGGAAACCATTTTCCACGACTGTTGCTGTGAGGTGATCTTGACAATCCCTAGATAATAACCAGTCTCTGCACTGGCCATAACAAACTAGTCGATATTAGTCAACTCACCATGCAGGCAGTCAGTTCCTCCTGGAAGATTCTGTGGCTGAGCCACCTCCAGACCGATGAGAGATGGAGAAGAAGAGGTAGAAGGTGGTGAGGATGAAGATCCAGGTGGGGATGAGGGTGGTAGGCACTGGGAGCTCTGGTTGGGCACAGCTGACTGCGGGCTCTGTGAGGGAATCTGGGCTGAACAGGAGCTGTTGTTGTTATTGTTGTTGTGCATACTGCCCATTCCATTTTCAGTTAGAAACTCCTCCAAGTCCATATACTGAAGCTGGAAGAGGCCCCCATCCGCAGGCACAGTGCGATCCCACAAAAGAGGCCCCAGGAACTGGTTGAAGTTTCCTCCTCCATTTCCACCTCCTCCACAGCCATTACTGCTATTACTGTTGACTATTCCACTTCCATTCCTCATTGGGCACACTCCCAAGGAGTCCTCATCGAGGTCCAGTCTGTCTTTGTCTGCCAGATGGGAATAAAAAGCAGACTTATTAGTGGAATATAAAAATGACGATGCTTACTTTTGGTGTCACTTTAACAGGTTTCAGTGGACAAGAAGGTGGCCTTGGGATAGTTCATGCTTCGGCTGCTTTATGCTAAAAATCAGCTCTTCATATTTGCACAGAACTAAATGGCACTTCTACAAAATCCCCTTCTCCGCCTATCTCTCATACAATCACACACAGAAACACAGATGGGCCCAGATGGTAGCTGAATTGCAGCATTAACCAACAGCCAAAACCGATTTGCTGTCATAACGTATACACAAACTCCAGAACAAATCTCACAATAGCCAGGGATACATTTGGCAGAGAAAACGCACCCAGAACGCATGCTTGTATGGGTTTAGATTTACAGCTAAACCAAAGCATGTTATCACCCAGTGTAATCTAGATCCTAATTTGAAGTTGCATCAGGGATTATAATTCAGCTCATCTGGCCATGGTCACTGAGGAGTCATCCTGAGCACATGTCCTGGGGCATGAAACCTTTGTGGCCTTTACATATGAAAAATTACTAATAGTGGTACATATTTTTATACAACAGACCTTTTATTAATTAAATTCACAGAAGGGTCTCACCTTTCGAATCACATGGGTTCTTTAAACGCTGGTCTCCTTTCATGGGGTGCTGCAGGAGGGATTTCAGACCTGCCATAGAGTTGAGGTGCCCCCCTGTCAGGGAGCCTCCAGGTTGAGTACAGCTTCCAAACTGTGGGCTTGCCCCAGCTGGGAGGTCTGGGGTCGGAAGCTGGGAGAGTTGCCTGGACATCCTGGACCAGACGGGTCGCAGAAACACACCTGGGGCACTTGAAAGGGCTAGGCGAGCTGACAGGAGTACCTACCAATGGGACAAGCAGGCTGGATGACTGTGGCTGTGAGCACAGGAGGGGTGGGGTGGTGGGCAAATACAAAAAGGTAGTTTTGAGACTTATCTATGCAGAATAGAGCATCTGTTATATTGTAATTACAGTCATGACATTGGCATGGCATTATGTCAGAAAGTTTAAATTACACACGCAAACTCTTACCTTTCACTTGTAGATATAAAGAGTTCTTTATTTCCCTGCAAAAATATTTTCCTCGAAGTACTCCATTGCCTTTGGATGTTGTAGATGAAGCTGTTATTCTCGGAGAACAGTGTGGGAGGGACAGTCAGACCATCTGATTAGGAATACTGTCCATAATAAAACTGCAAAGGCGTGAAAATTCCGCACACACACGAAAAAATATTGCAGTAAAAACTTGAAGAGCGATATCCCGAGTTAGTGGTGCGGTAATTTAAAAAGAAATACTTATAATAATGAAAGAAGATCGCAGAGAGAGACTTCCTCCGTCAAAACAAAACTGTCGTGGAGAAAGAGGAGCATTAAAAAAAAACAGCCAGCGACGCGAGCTGTACGTGGTCAGATGACAAGTTGTATTGCTGCTTCTCTGCTGTCGCGCTCTGCTGTCCCTCGGTGGGGAGGGGGTGGTTGGAGAGGCTGGAGGGGGTCGTTTCCTCTTTCTGTCTGTACTTTTTTTTTTTCCATCCGGTGGATCCAGTCACGGGCGCACGGGCTCGGATCTGTGTTTGGGCCGCGCGACGTACTCCTCCTCCTCCCGTTTCTCTCTTTCTCTCAGCTGGAATGGACACGGGCAGTTCACGTGACGTCACACCTCGAGAGAGGGGCGGGGCCCGGCTTTAACCGATCTCTCAATTTTCGCCTAAATTATTTATGAGGACACACCTACCCCTCGTGCCACACCTCGAGGGGAGCAGCAGGTTGTGTTGTTTTTCCCGACAGGTACAACCACAATTATTTTTGTAAAAAAAATAAAAATCAAACAAGAAGCAGGAAATATGTAAATTAGTCTCAGCGTCACCATGGTGATGGGAAAGAAACCATGAGAAACAGCTAACTGTGCTGTAAGCTGGGGGTTAATGGCGCTTAGGCTCGCGCTCTCCGTTGGAGCATAATTTGGCTTTCTCTAATATTCAGGCACTGCTGCATGACTTTTCCAGCTTCCTTGTAATCCACGGAAAACGTGAGTGCGCCGTTTTTTCAGGCGAGAGGAACGCTTCTGCACGTTGCCTGCCGGCGTACAATAGCAGCTCAGGCTCACGTGTATGAGGCACGCGGAGACGAGGCCCGTCTGCTCACAGCTCGGGCACTGATAGGCCCGCGGAGAGCTGCTGCTCCGCCCTTGCGCCGGAGCCGATTGGGCAGAAATAGGTCGGACAAGCCCGCCCGCTCGGATTCCCTCCCGGTGCATGCTACTGCCGCGTGAGACCGAGCAGCTCGAAATACAAAAAAAGCGCGAGGGTTGTCTTGTCTACTGTACAAGTTGAAAAGCACATGCAAAACAATGCGTGCAGCAGGAATTCACCCCCTTTGATTTTTTTCCTCCAGAGTTAGACATGCAGAAGTTGACGTAAATAGATTACAGACAGACCAGCATACAAAAGACGCATTGAGTAATTGCATTTGAACAATATGCCCTGAAAATAAATAAGTGAATGCAACTGGAGGCAGGAGCACTGGAGGAGGAGGCAGCCCTGTGTTCAGCCCTGTCCCGAGAGTCCCTTTTTTTAATAATTGTTTTCCGAATTAACCTATCAGACTCCAGTCTTGTCCAGCTGTGTTCTTTCAAGATTATAACCACGTGTCACCCCCACATAAAAAATATCAGAGTGGATGAATCATCATTTTTTGTGTCTGCAAGCAAGCCAGATCATCAGCATGAATTAAAACTCACAACA